CAACTCACCCTTATGTAACATATAATACTCCCTACAACTGTACAACTCCTCAACCTTATGTGACAGATAATACTCCCTACAACTGTACAACAACACGCCCTTATGTAACATATAATACTCCTTACAACTGTACAAATCCTCAACCTTATGTAACAGATAATACTCCCTACAACTGTACAACTCAACCTTATGTAACAGATAATACTCCCTACAACTGTACAACTCACCCTTATGTAACATATAATACTCCCTACAACTGTACAACTCCTCAACCTTATGTGACAGATAATACTCCCTACAACTGTACAACAACTTGATAATACTCCCTACAACTGTACAACTCACCCTTATGTAACAGATAATACTCCCTACAACTGTACAACAACTCACCCTTATGTAACATATAATACTCCCTACAACTGTACAACTCACCCTTATGTAACAGATAATACTCCCTACAACTGTACAACTCCTCAACCTTATGTGACAGATAATACTCCCTACAACTGTACAACAACTTGATAATACTCCCTACAACTGTACAACTCACCCTTATGTAACATATAATACTCCTACAACTGTACAACTTGATAATACTCCCTACAACTGTACAACTCAACCTTATGTAACAGATAATACTCCCTACAACTGTACAACAACTCACCCTTGTGTAACAGATAATACTCCCTACAACTGTACAACTTGATAATACTCCCTACAACTGTACAACTCAACCTTATGTAACAGATAATACTCCCTACAACTGTACAACAACTCACCCTTGTGTAACAGATAATACTCCCTACAACTGTACAACTCACCCTTATGTAACAGATAATACTCCCTACAACTGTACAACTCCTCAACCTTATGTGACAGATAATACTCCCTACAACTGTACAACAACTTGATAATACTCCCTACAACTGTACAACTCACCCTTATGTAACATATAATACTCCCTACAACTGTACAACTTGATAATACTCCCTACAACTGTACAACTCAACCTTATGTAACAGATAATACTCCCTACAACTGTACAACAACTCACCCTTGTGTAACAGATAATACTCCCTACAACTGTACAACTTGATAATACTCCCTACAACTGTACAACTCAACCTTATGTAACAGATAATACTCCCTACAACTGTACAACAACTCACCCTTGTGTAACAGATAATACTCCCTACAACTGTACAACTCCTCAACCTTATGTAACAGATAATACTCCCTACAACTGTACAACTCACCCTTATGTAACAGATAATACTCCCTACAACTGTACAACTCACCCTTTTCCTATTTTCCTTACGACCTCTTATTGGTAGTACTATATTTCTGTTTTTGTTTTGTTTGTTTGTTTGTTTGTTTTTTACTTTTACTTACTTGTACATATACATTTATTTAATTAGGCCTTGTATGAGCCTCTTGCTATTTTTCGTTGCTACTTATTGCTACTTAGAAGTTTTTTTTACCATTTTTATTCTATGTTATTGTAATATATTGTGACGTGTGAGCTACTGTGTCCAAGTCATTTCCCTCGTGGATCAATAAAATCTGTCTAAATCTAAGTGTATTATTCACAGAACCCTGTGCGTTTCAGATTATGTAGACGTCGTCAGGCTGCACCGTATCATGAGACTTTATCATATCACACACACTGAAGCCATTTTTTTTACATTTTAAAATTATGCTGTTGCTGCAAGATTGGGATGGATGGATACGATTGGGATAATTAGTTGAGCAGTTCATTTATGTTCCCAGTTTTTCCTGTGTTTTGCTACACTGAGCCCGTGGGGTGGCTGCTGTTTTTTGTTTTTTTTTGTTACGTATAAATTAAAGAGTGATTAGAACATCATTATATCTTGTGGTATAGTCACATTTTTACAGCATTTTTCCTCCTTCAGGGCATTTCAAAGCGCTTTACATTAAGGAACCGATCACCGACTCATGCACACTTTCATACACCAGTGTACGCAGACACTGGGAGCAAAGTGGGTTAAGTGTCTTGCCCAAGGACACAACGACAGCATTCATCTATATCACAGGTGTCAAACATAAGGCCCGGGGGCCGGATCTGGCCCTCCAAGACCTTTAATGTGGCCCTCGGCTGATTTTCTACTAAAATATTTTTATTATATTTTCTATTAAAATATTTGTAATTTTCTGTGGTGTTTATCACAGCAGCGTCTCCAGCGTCTCTGTACGTGGCCCCTCCCACCAGAGCAAATGAATGACATTGTCTCTTTCCAAACGCTCTTAAAGGACGATCGTTTTGACTGTTGACCGTGACACCCTCATCAGAAAAATGTCCAACATAAGAAAAGTGGAGCCGAGTGCAGGATTTTACAACAAAAATGTACTTATTCCTATTTGCATACAAGTTAATGTTAAAACATTGTGTTGAAATTGCATGTTTTTTTTTAAGTTTCAGGTTGTTCATAATATTATCATATTGTGTAAAAGAAAGAGTTCATCAATTAAAAAAGATTTCTGTAATAGATTTCTCTGCACAAATATTTGAACTTGAATTGTTATTTTTGGGGTTTATATGACATGAGTTTTCTGATCCGGCCCCTTTGGGATCAAAGTAGGTTGGATACGGCCCCCGACCAAAATGAGTTTGACACCCCTGATCTATATGATCTGGAATCACCGCCAACTTATGACTCAATGACCGCTCCAGCACTGATGTTTATGTCGACAGGTTTATAATGCACTGTAATACACATTTTAGGAAATATTGTACTACGTTTTCATTTTTTAACTCACCAAAATGTGTCTCATCGAGTTTAACATATGAATTTCAGCCAAAAAAATATCTTAAAAAACAGGGAAACTACCAGAAAGCCTCAGGGCCCAAACCCCAGGCAACATTTTGACAGCCTCGTATTGAATAAAGAACAGTGTAAATTGTTGTTCTCTTCTCCTCCGTGCTGCTCGTACGACTACACACTGTCAGGATTAACCAAGACTGAAACTGAAACAAGTTTTCTTTCGTACGAGTTGAATATCTGATTTACAATTTTGAATATTTTGACATAAAACTGCCAAATCGAAAAGAATTTGAATTTCATTAAATGCAAATCGTTGGGGTGGCTCTGTGACTTGAGAAAACTAAACCAGGTCTAAAAATGACAGATTAAAGTTTTGAGAATAAATGAGGACAAATCTAAAAAAACAGGACTGCCCTTTATACGTCTGCAACTTCAGAAATAAGTTAATAAAAAAGAAAATAAGTTGATATAAAGTGTGTGTATTTTATCTGTTTAAAATGACGTGTCACAAAGAAAAAGCCAAACTCAAAGCCCGAATATTTCTTGCGAATCGTGTAGTGGGGATAATTAAAGTCATTACGTAAGACAAACAGCTCTGAGGCACAAAGCATTCTGGGAAAACTCAGACAGATGCTCATTATTTTAAAAGGAGCTCAGGACAGGCCAGTCTGGAGGGTGACTAATTTTGTTTTAGCTGACAGTAAAAGTCTATTTCTGAACAATGATATGTTTTTAAATGTAAAAGACAGTTTAAAAGGACTATTTTTGCAGTAAATTTATAGGAAAATTATGTATAAGACTGGGTAGATTATATACAGGGAAGAAAAGTATGACAGACGGGTAAACAGTGACACCTTTTGGTTAAAAAGAACATTGCAAGTCACGATTATAGTATTTAAAGTGATGTTGAAATTTATACTGATATTTCTAAGAACAATATTTTATTTTTTAGCATTTTAATTACTGTATTTTAAACCTGCTTGTCTCCACAGATATGACATTGCTTTGCTTTGAATGTTACACAGTATAGCATTAATTTTTATCTATTTATTTATTTCCATGTAAAACAGACATGTCAAACTCAGGCCCAGGGGCAAAATTTGGCCCGTGATATAATTATATTTGGCCCATGAGATCATATCAAATATATTAGAGCTGGCTCGCCGACTATAGATGCATTATTTATTTAAATGTTGTTATTACCGTATTTTCCGGGCTATTAGTCGCTCTGGATTATAAAACGCACTGTCATTAAATGGTCTATTTTCAAACTTTTTTCACAAATAAACCGCACTGGACTTTAAACGAAACACAACAGTTGAATGGGTCAGTGGTTTTGTTTGTTTGTGGCGTTCACGGTGACTCTGGGCCTTGTTCAGTTGTGGCGTGTAGGGAGGTGCTGTCTGGGACCAACAGATTGTCGGCGTGTTCGCAGTGACTCAGTTGTTCAGTTGTGGCTCAGAAAGGCACATTGCGCTCGCTTTTTTGGTTCGTTCCTCAGTTCCGTTCCTCGTCGGCGTGGGGTGATGAGTGTGTCTGTGGGTGTGTTTTGTTGTGTGGTCGCTGTCTGCTCCGTGTGTGTTTGTGTGTTCTGCGTCTGCGGCTTTGTAGTTTACTGAAGTCGTGCTGGGACACCCGAGCGGATTCGTGTATGGGGCGCTCTGGATTGTGGGTGCGTGGTTGTTTTTTGATGGGGTTAGAGGCTTAAGAGCGCGTCTAATACCCTGGAAAATATGATATTTTATATTACGCTTGTTCTGGATTCAATGTTATTTTAATAAGAAAAGGTTTAACATTACATATCTCAAAACAAAAGAAAACATGCAGATGTTGTTGAAATGTTTTAGTAAATATTTAATTTGGCCCGTGACTTAGTCCCAATTTTTTATTTTGGTCCTCTGGTTTTGGTGAATTTGAGTTTGACACGACTGATGTAGACAAACGGGTGACACCACCAGGCCACGTCACAGGTCAGATCTGTGGAGAGGCAAACCCGCTTGCATTAAAAATATACTTACTACTTACTTTTTACTTACTAGTTACTTTTAAGCTCTAAAAACACTTGTAAATGAAAAAATGAAAGCTAGATATGTTTAATGCCAAACTGTGGGACTCTCCAGGCAAAGTAATAACATCTCCATGGAGACGAGAAAGTTTGACCCTTTAAGAGGAAAATTACAGAGACTTAAATGATAAAGAAAAAGACTTGAGAGTATAAACAGTTGAACATGTTTAATACTGAGTGGCCCCAGAACATTGTAAACTCTAGTTGTATTTTCAGACAGAAGCAGCACACAGAACGCTCATGCATTGGACCGGACACTTCATTTCACATTAGAACAACTGTAAACAAGTAAACACAAAAATATGGCACGTTTGAAGCATCGGACTGTATCAAAAATGGGCACAGAACACCACACAAAATATAGAAACAAACCTGGTATTAATTTTGAATATTTAGGCCAAAGAGAAGTCGCTATGAATTTAAAAAAAAAATAAAAAATCTTCAATTAAATATACAAATTAACAGAAATGCACGCAGGTTTTTCAGTTCTGATCGTGATATTTTGGCTTTAAAAGACGCACTGTGTAACTTTGCTTGGGGATCCATCATCTGCTTGTTTCTATGGAGACGTCATTGCTCTTTCTGGAATGTTCCGCAGTATGAAATTAAACATATCGAGCTTATATTTATTCAATTACAGGTGGTTTTACAGCTCAAAAATACCTAGAAAAACAGACATTCTGACTGTGAGTGGGGTCGCCTCTCCGCAGATCTGACCTGTCACTTGGCCTGGGGTTTGGTCTCCATGACAATAGAAAGGTTTAATGCCGTACTGTGAAACATCCCAGACAAAGCAATAACGACTCAAATATCGACTCCAATAACGACTCCAATAACGACTCCAATATCGACTCCAATAACGACTCCAATAACGACTCCAAAACCGACGCATTTGACGGACCCATCAGAAAAGTTACACAATGCAGCTTTAAGTATCTGTCAATACTCTAGTCTACATCAATTGAAGCCTTTAAAAATAACAGCTTTGTAAAAAAAATAGTTTAATTGGTCAGTAAATCATCTTATTACACCAATTTATGGACCAAAATGGAATATCGAATGGACCGATATCTTGGAAACCGATCCATGAAAATGTATTTGGTGCTGGATTGTAGATTTGACCGGTTTAAAGGAGAGACTGAAAAAACAAATACAGCGTCTTTAAAGTGCGTGTAACATGTTTTTATGATTCTCTCATTTCTGCTTAATTTAGTGGGATAATACATGTTGTAAATATAATTAGTTTTACAAAAATCAAGAAGCAATTTGTGAAGCAGACTTGAAAAACATGTTAAAAATTACAGCAAGTAGAGAGTTCTTCACAATGGGGAGTATTCGATCCAAGATTTAGACAAAATTCATACTTAGAAAAACAAAACACATTTTTCTGAAAGTTTAAACGTGATTTCAACCAAATAAAGGCGCTTTCTTATAAATGTAATTGTCAAATAATAATCTCTGCGTATATTAGAGGAATTTAGGACCATGGCTGCGGGGAAACAGTTATAAAATCCCTTTTTGGATAAGAGAGGGTAGAGGAGGTTAGAATCATTTCTTTGTATTTCTTTGTATTTTAATAACCTTTGTTTTAATTCCAGTTTTTGTATTTAATAAAGAAAGGGAGAAAAAAAGTGTAACACCAAGATTTTCAACCAGAAAGTAAAATTTTGAACCTGAAAATTGTCCAAACTGGGAACCAACGTGTAAAATCTTTAGTAAAATCTTAAATATAATGATCTTAACTGTGTTTTATTAAAATGTGTGATCCAACCTGTGTTTTAATTAACAGAGAAGAAGTGATTTGCTGCTTGATTTGACCGTCTTAAAAGAAGGTTTAGAGGAATTACAAATACAAATACAGCTTCCTTAACAGAACAAAATTGTTTTAATTATTTTTGTCAACACTACTCCATTATCAGAAAGTTAATAGTTGCTTAAAAATCAATGAAAGAGAGAGTTCAAATTAAGCTTTTCTTAAATACGCCGTGTTCAAAAATCCATGCCCATTTTTGTATACAGCCCTGGGGGATTTTAACAGATACATGTGCACTATTCAGGCCACTATAATTGCATTGCATTGAATAAATAGCACATTTGGCATAAAACACTTCTATTTATATTACAATATGCCCTGGCATGCAGAATAAGGACCCATTCGACTTAACAAAGCTACTTCTATTGTGACGTGGTCTGAAATGGGAGAGTGAGTCTGACTAGTATCGGTGAAACAGTGACATGAGACATTTTAAAGGACAGAGCGGACGAAAGAGGAGGAGGGGAGAGGGTAAAATGTTGTCAGAGTCGCAAAAAGTGAACATTTAAAAAGAAGTCTTGGTGCAGAAACTGATTAGATTCTAAAACATGTCTGACATCGGTTTGTTTGTGTTGGAATATTCCTTACTGATACTTTTTGTCAAACTTTCCGGTGGGTTTGATGCCAAAAATAGACACTGCTCTATCTGAAAATTTGTTAAACTTTTATCAGAGCTTCATTTTTACACCATCTGACCAGAAAGAACGGACTTTAAAAAGGTGAGATTTCCAAATCGCTCTCAAATAAAATTATGGTCAAATATAGTTGAATATTTGTTGAACATTCTTGAGTTTTCAGACTTTCAGATCATAAAACTTTTGACAGTGTCCGCTAATGTGTTTTTGGTGTCTTCGTGATAACTGATAAACAATCCACCTGTAGGTTTTATTCACGCTTACGTCACAAACCCGGAAGACGTTTGGAAACATGCGGATGACGACTTCCTTTGGGCTCTGATCGCGAAGGGAGGAATCGGTTTTCTTTATCTAGATCACAGGTGTCAAACATGCGGCCCGGGGGCCAGATCCGGCCCTCCAAGACCTTTAATCTGGCCCTCGACTGATTTTCTACTAAAATATTTAAATTCTGCTTTTTATTAAAATCTTGTTAATTTTCTGTGGTGTTTATCACAGCAGCGTCTCCAGCGTCTCTGTACGTGGCCCCTCCCACCAGAGCAGCACAAATGAAGACTTGTCTCTTTCCAAACGCTCTTAAAGGACGATCGTTTTGACTGTTGACCGTGACACCCTCATCAGAAAAATGTCCAACATGAGAAAAGTGGAGCCGAGTGCAGGATTTTCCAAGAAAAATTTACTTATTCCTATTTTTATACAAGTTAATGTTAAACAAGTTCATGTTAAAACTTTGTGTTGAAATTGTATTTTTCTTAAAGTTTCAGGTTGTTCATAATATTATAATATTTTGTAAAAGAAAGAGTTCATCAATTAAAAAAGATTTCTGTAATAGATTTGTGTTTTTCTGCACAAATATTTAAACTTATTGTTATTTTGGGGTTTATATGCCATGAGTTTTCTGATCCGGTTGGATACGGCCCCCGGACCAAAATGAGTTTGACACCCCTGATCTAGATGTCATTGTATTCTTTCTTTTTTTCCTTTTATAAATTGCCTATCAATTGGTGTATTATAATTTGCCTAACTTCATAAAAAAGATGTTATGTTCAGCAGATCAACAGTTCCAACCAGCTGCCTGTGAGTGACATCGAAGACGCGATTAGAGTCCCGTCCCCCGTGGAAAGCTTTGGCAGGTTGTGAAGACGCTGCTGCTGCTGCTGCTGCTGAATCCACGGTTTTATGACACGCCCATTGTCGGTAACTACACTGGAAATCGTCATGTGCATGTTTCCAAACGTCTTCTGGTAAACGTGAACAGAGCCTAGTCAAATATATGTAGCACAAACCCATCATAACGTCACTGCAAAATACCAATACAAAAGCAGGTGGAAGTTAACAGAAAACACACATAGTCCTTCAGTCTTTAAAGGCTCCGTACAGTTAAAGGGACAGCCTGGAATTTTGGACATAGGACCTAATTTCCTAGACACATTTTTAAATATTCCATCCAGTCCTTGTATTTGCAGAGGTCGCTGGTGCTAGACTAGTGCATGTCAATGTCCATAGTTTATCCTGCCACTAAAAACAGTCTTACCCACTCCACAAAACACCCGAAGCAAAACAATTATTACGCCAGACTGTCGATGTAAATGTTATTATTATTATTACCTTGTATTATTAGTCTGTCTACATCTCCAAAGCGGGTCTGTTCCACATTGTGATGTCATGTAGTGGTATTTTTCATGTTAACTGCTCACTTTTAACTTTAGTACAGCAGAGATGGGCAAATCAAGATCTGAAATTATCCAAATCCAGATTCTAGTAGTGTTGTAGTCAAGACCGCACTAATCGAGACCAAGACCACAGAGTCTAAGACCACAGAGTCCCGAGACCAGGACAAGACCAAGACCTCTGAGGGTCGAGACCATGACCCATCGAGATCAAATCGAGACCATCTTTGTAATTCTCAACATTTATTTGTATTTTATAGTTATTTTGGTACATATATGTGTTAGGTAAGTACAACTGGTTTACTTTTCTTTTTTAAGGATTGTTTGGCTTTGTTCATTTGGCTTTGTTCGTTTGGCTTTGTTCGTTTGTCTTTGTGGAGTGGGTAAGACACCAGTGATCTCATGGTTTTCATTGGTCTCATGGTTTGGGAGCATTTCTGCTAAAAACAAGAACTCCCTGAATCAGTTGGTTAAACGGGGCGAGTGAGGTGATTGTCCATCCTCAGAGCCGCCTGGACTCTCTGTACTCGAGACAGTTACAGAGGACGTCCCAGAGTATTTTAAAAGACGTGCAACATCCACTAAACTCAGAGTTTCAGCTGCTTCCCTCCGGTCAGAGGCTTTTAGTCCCAAGATCTAGAACAAATCGTTTAAAAGGAGCTTCGTTCCGGCTGCTATTGTACTTATGAATAAATTGTCATCTATTTATCTAAGATTGTGTGTTTTTAACATATTTAATATTTATTGTGAATTTAGCCAAGCGTGATGGATAAATTTAACTAATTGTTTATGGAACAAACCGTTCTGCACTGGAGCTCTGTAACACTTTATTTTGTAATTGTGTTTTTATACGTGTTTTGTGGATGAATGAAATGTGAAATGTGGGGCCTGCCTCTCAAATCTGCAAAGCAAATTTACCTACGGGTACGAATAAACTAACCTAACCCTAACCCTAATCTCTGTAAATACAAGGACTGGATGGAATATTTAAAAAAGTGTCTCCAAACGTCTCCGACACTCTGGCTCACTAGGAAAAGAGGCCCTATGTCCAAAACTCTGCACTGTCTCTTTAAAGTAGATGAAAAAAAAACATTGAACCAATTTTTGAACCATGACTGAGGAACATGTGTCAGTCTGAACTATAAACCCCGCCCATTTAGTTTCTTCCACGCTAATGTTGCATCTTAAGAGAGAAACAACTGTCTGGAATAGTCCCTGACTGTTGATTTCTTAAATATTATCCAACAACGTGTCTAACAAAAGCTGGAATTGCCATGCTTTTATCCCTTTATGGTCCTCGTACAAAAACCTGCAAATGAAAATGTTCAGTCCAGCTTTTACCGTTAACGGCGTGGCCCAAAGTGCGTCATTTTGAACTCAACGAAGTAAACAAACCTATAACGCATTTCTGAACATGAACTATCAGGATGAAGCGAAGGGTTTGCGTGAGATAAAAACAAGTTTAACCTCCGCCGCCTCCTCCTTTGACAGTGTGGTCGCAAGTCATATTTTACATCCAGCTAAAAAAATGACAGTGGAAATACAGCGTGTGTGTCAAATAGTGTACAAAATCAAAACTTGAGCGTATTCATTTAAATTTGCACTGTGTAAACTTTTCTGCCACCTGTTCGTCTCCACTGAGATATTTTTGCTTTGCCTGGAATGTTCCAGATTGGCATTAAAATGATCTTCCTACTTAATCAGGTACAGCCGCTTTAAAAGGTCCTGTATTATTACGCAAAATTGACTCTTGTGAGCTTTAAGCCATGTTAAAATGTTGTTACCTCGTCAAAAACATCTTTATTATTAGTCTGTCTAAATCTAAAGCTGGTCTGTTCCACCTTGTGATGTCATGTAGTGGTAGTTTTCACGTGAACCGCCACCTTTTAACTTCAGTTCAGTGGAGATGGGCAAATCCAGATCTGAAATTATCCAAATGATTCTAGTAGTTTTGCACTAATCGAGACCAAGACCTGTCTAAGACCACAGAGTCCCGAGACCGGGCGAAGACCAAAACCTCTGAGGGTCAAGACCGAGACAAGACCGAGACGTTTAAAGGTCGAGACCGAGACAAGACCAAATTCACGGCCCATCGAGACCAAATCGAGACCATCGTTGTAATTGACATTTATTTGTATTTTATAGTTATTTTGGCACATATATATCAACGTTTTTATAAATCTATCTCCATTTTATTACTTACTTGAGTGTCAGACCTCGAGACAGAGACAAGACCGAGTCCAAGCGCCTTCAAGACTGAGACGAGAACGAGTCCAAGCGCCTTCAAGACCGAGACAAGAGCGAGTCCAAGCGCCTTCAAGATCGAGACAAGACCGAGTCCAAACACCTTCAAGACTGAGACGAGACCGAGTCCAAGCGCCTTCAAGATCGAGACAAGAACGAGTCCAAGCGCCTTCAAGATCGAGACAAGAGTGAGTCCAAACACCTTCAAGACTGAGACGAGACCGAGTCCAAACACCTTCAAGACTGAGACGAGACCGAGTCCAAGCGCCTTCAAGACTGAGACGAGACCGAGTCCAAACACCTTCAAGATCGAGACAAGAGTGAGTCCAAACACCTTCAAGACTGAGACAAGACCGAGTCCAAGCGCCTTCAAGACCGAGACAAGAATGAGTCCAAGCGCCTTCAAGACCGAGACAAGAACGAGTCCAAGCGCCTTCAAGATCGAGACAAGAGTGAGTCCAAACACCTTCAAGACTGAGACGAGACCGAGTCCAAGCGCCTTCAAGACTGAGACGAGACCGAGTCCAAACGCCTTCAAGACTGAGACGAGACCGAGTCCAAACACCTTCAAGATCGAGACAAGACCGAGTCCAAACACCTTCAAGATCGAGACAAGAGTGAGTCCAAACACCTTCAAGATCGAGACAAGAGTGAGTCCAAACACCTTCAAGATCGAGACAAGACCGAGTCCAAACACCTTCAAGACTGAGACAAGACCGAGTCCAAACACCTTCAAGATCGAGACAAGACCGAGTCCAAACACCTTCAAGATCGAGACAAGACTGAGTCCAAGTGCCTTCAAGACCGAGACAAGACCGAGTCCAAACACCTTCAAGACTGAGACAAGACTGAGTCCAAACACCTTCAAGACTGAGACAAGACCGAGTCCAAACACCTTCAAGATCGAGACAAGACCGAGTCCAAACACCTTCAAGATCGAGACAAGACCGAGTCCAAACACCTTCAAGATCGAGACAAGACCGAGTCCAAACACCTTCAAGATCGAGACAAGACTGAGTCCAAACACTTCAAGATCGAGACAAGACCGAGTCCAAACACCTTCAAGATCGAGACAAGACCGAGTCCAAACACCTTCAAGATCGAGACAAGACCGAGTCCAAACACCTTCAAGATCGAGACAAGACTGAGTCCAAACACTTTCAAGATCGAGACAAGACCGAGTCCAAACACTTTCAAGATCGAGACAAGACCGAGTCCAAACACCTTCAAGATCGAGACAAGACCGAGTCCAAACACCTTCAAGATCGAGACAAGAGTGAGTCCAAACACCTTCAAGACCGAGACAAGACCGAGTCCAAATGCGGTCAGACCGAGATGAGACCAAGGCCGCAAAAATGACCTTGAGCCAGTCTCAAGACCAAGATCAGTCTCGAGTCCTACGACACTAGATTCTAATGAAGGTGTATCAAGTTTAAGAACACAACGGAGCACTTCCTGTATTATCACATGACATCACAAGGTGGAACAGAGTGTTTTCAGTCTTGAGAGAAGAACTCGCCCTAAAAATGCAGGGTTTGTTTGTTAAATATGTGTGAATGAAACAAAACACAACTCCAGGTCTGTTTGTGAGGAAACAACATTATTACAACACACTGTAGATCAGAAAATAACTCCATGGAGACAAGCAGGTGGCAGACTCTCCACCAGAAAAGTTACATAGTGTACCTTTAAGTGTAGTATTATTTGTTCTCGTGGTGTTAAAGCCTTCTCCCTTGTGTCTAATGTCCTTCTTATTGTGGTTTGGATGCTATAGCTGTCTGACCGGAGGCAGGTTCAGTGTCTCCAAAGCAGTGTGGTACAGCTCTCTCAAAGCGCTCAATAAATACAGACGGCAGAACATTTGGTTAAACAGGTGAGGCAAGGGCTCCTGGGAACAAAAACAGCAAGAAAAAACAGAAAATATTATTATGAAGATATGTTTTAAAAGATGGGAGTTTGTTATTCTGTGGGTGGATGGTGCGTTGTGTTAGTCACTGTTGGACAAGTGACTTTAAAACTGTAATGTGTTATTTATTTATGACTCGTTACTGTCATTTCAAAGTCGTTTGTTACATTACAATATTACTGTGTTTAAAATGTAAAATATTACACGACTGTTGCAGCACTTTTAAGTTTCTCTCACCAAAATAACTGTGAAGATGCTGAACTTTTGCGGCGTATATGGACTGAACCAAAACTGAACCAGAGCTGAACCCGGATTGGACCAGGACTGAACCAGGACTAAACCAGGACTAAACCAGGACTGAACCAGGAAACCAGGAACTAAACCAGGACTAAACCAGGAACTGAACCAGGACTAAACCAGGAACTAAACCAGGACTAAACTAGGACTAAACCAGGACTAAACCAGGACAACTGAAACCAGGACTAAACCAGAACTGAACCAGGACTGAACCAGAACTGAACCAGGACTAAACCAGGAATACACCAGGACTAAACCAGGACTAAACCAGAACTGAACCAGGACTAAACCAGGACTAAACCAGGACTAAACCAGAACTGACCCAGGTCTAAACCACGTCTAAACAAGGACTAAACAAGATCTAAACCAGGATTAAACCAGGAGCACACCAGGACTAATCTTGGACTAGAACCTGGAATCTAGGACCTCCCCTGAGAGAACCCCGAGCTGGTGGAACAGGATGTCTGCAAGGCGCGATCAGGCGTCAGCGGGCGCGTTTTTTGGCACAAAACTCGTTATATGTTAATCCTGTTATTTTATTTATTTTTAGTTTAGGTTATTTTCTGCACATATATTAGCTTGATTTGTTAAGTTACCCTTTTACATTCCGGTAAATTAAACATTACTTAATTTTTTCCATTCTCGAAATAGGTTTGTTTTGTTTTTTTGTTACTTCCCTGACCCCAACGAGCTGGTCTTAACAGGTAGTACAATATCATGGAATTTATTTTTAGTAGTATTCATGGCTTCAGATTCCTGTCATACGCAACATTTTGAGGTAACAGTCCCAATTTAGAAATAGTACTGAAATGTATTTAGAAGAAGATATTTCCATGATATTTGCTGCTATCCAGTACAAAATGATGTATTGGCTTGTTAGTATGAATACAGGATGTTGACCGTGAAATACTCACCCCAAGTACATGAACTCTGTTGTAGTAAGAGCTGAAATCTTTACTCAGAGAAACGAGGAATTTACACATCTGAAACAAAGTGTTGAAATATACATCACTGTCATGTAATTATACTTTTGATTTGATATGAAAAAACATTGTATTCTCTTTCTGACCTGTTCTGTTTTGATGTTGAGCCTGGCCCCGCCCCCTTCGCAGTCCACCGCCTGTCCCGATTGGTCGAGCAGCTCAGAGAAGGGAATGAGGTAATTGAACAGGAGCAGCCACTCGCCCTGAGGTAGAGACACAGAAAATAACATTGGGTTATGAGATAAATTACATCAATATTAAAGAGGTAACAACATTCCAACAACACTTAAAGCGCACAAAAGTTAATTTTATATAATATAGGACGTGTAGAGTGTGGGGAGAATGGAGCGTGAGATTGACAGGTGGATCGGTGCAGCGTCGGCGAAGCTGAGCGAAAGAAAGGCAAAGCTCTCGATTTACCGCTCAATCTACATTCTTGCCCTCACCTATGGTCATGAGCTCTGGGTAATGACCGAAAGGACAAAATCGCGGATACAAACGGCTGAAATGAGATTCCTCTGCAGGGTGGCTGGGCGCTCCCTTAGTGATAGGGTGAGGAGCTCGGTCACATGAGAGGAACTCAGACCGCTCTCCTCCATGTCTCACCGGGAGGAGGCCCCCGGGGAAAATCGGACACACTGGGGGACTATGTCTCTCTCGGCTGGCCTGGGAACGCCTTGGGATCTCCCCGGAGGAGCTGGAGGATGTGTGCGTGGAAAGGGAAGTCTGGGAGTCCCTGCTTAGACTGCTGCCTCCATCACCCGACCCAGGATAAAGCGGAAGAAAATGGATGGATAGGACATGGCGAGGACATGGGAAATTTTCAGTTTGGTCGACTGTTGTCTCTTAGTTAGTTGGTTGAATACAGTATTACGGTATCCGCTCTATCAAAAAGCTAGCAATGGTCTTCAGTTCATGCTCTCTGTTCAGCTGCATAAGAACCTAATATTATTATAATTTACTGATACCTAAATTTGTTTGCTCAGCACAAATGAATGTGATTCTTCACACATGGATAGGACATGTAAAAAGTACGTCTTGGGAAATTTTCAGAGTGGTGAGTATTCTTTCTGCTAGAGGATGTGCGGCTGACGGTGAGTCTGTTCTGTGTGTGTATCGCGCTGGAGATGGTTCATGTGAAACTTTTCAGAGGTTATAAATCTGCAGGTCATACGCATAAACTTATAGCGGTGGCAGCATTTTTATGCTTTAACTAAAACATTTTGGTAATACAAAAAATAAAAAAATCCGGACTAAAGCGTTTACACGGTATCAAAATTTTGATCTGTGACCAGACCCTACCGTCTATAACCAAAAGTGAGGAGTGAGGGGCTAATTGACTTTACAACTATTAGCAATAGGACACTAATATGATGAGAATCCAGTGAAGGTGTGTGGAATTTAGAACTATCTGTCTTTAGTTTTGCGTGGCTCTGTGCTTAAACACTCACATCCTCTTAGTCTTCATCAAACATATCTCTACATACCTCTTCTTTCAGAGCGGAGAAGTCCAGCTGCGAGCCTTCTGGGATTTCTGGATACAAACCTACAAACAAATGTGATTTTTAAAAACTGAAAGTAAAATATTTATATTGCGACAACTTCTCAAAGGTGCACTGTGTAACGTTTGTGCTGGAGGGTAAGTGGAGATAGCATTACTTTGATCGTGACAAAAATATTCCACAGTATATTCAATTTAAGCAAACTGGTTGAGAGGATGCTACACCCAGGATAAGTTACAAGTCAGATCTTTGGAAAGGTACGCCCAAGCACAGTACATATGCATGTTTTTCAAGGTATTTTTGAGCAGTATAAACCCTAAACCTAAAAAAACAAACAGCAAAAGCTATATACAATACCATCTTCAGACACAGGCTCAGATAAGTTACACAGTGCACCTTTAAATACGCTTTTTTTGGTTGGTAAGAAAATCGACTAAACACGTAACAACCCAAGTTTAATTGTTTGGTTAAGAAAAGTTCTGCGTACCTTTCTCGACTCCTCTCTCGTAGCTGTCGAAGAGAGTGTGGAGCCTGGCACAGTTGTACATGACGAACACTCCTCCTCTGGGGCCTTTGGTGGAGACGGAGCCCTCTCTGTGAACGTCCAGAGTCACCTGAACGCACCACGGGCACAAGGATTACACAACATGGACAAGTACCTGAACGCCTCACAGACCAAAGCCGAGACAAAACAACTGGAGCAATTATTATTTTACCATGTTTGAAAATATAATGCTGGTAATTCTGTACATCTAGCAGTAAGAAAATAATATCTATTTAACTGTAGATCAGGGGTGTTCACACTTTTTCACCATGCGAGCTACTGACAAAATGACCAAGTCAAAATGATCTACTTAATACAAAGCCAAGCAAACTGCACTGAAACACTCTGTGCCCCTTTTTTGGACCCTCGCCCACAGTTTGAGAACCTCTTCTTTAAGAGAACTTCCTCTGGCACTTTACACAAAACTGTGAAAAAAGTGAAGGAAGATTTTTAAACCTGTTTTTTAAAGTTCCAAACAGGAGTTTCATTCTTTTCTGGTTTTGCAGTGATATTTATCCAGCCTCTGCACGTTTTACCAAACCAAACGCACACATCGTGACAAACACAGATGCATTTGTGCACTTTTGTTAGACAAACTTCAGCCAAATGTGGCAGTAGGTCTGTTCTGTAGATCCGCTCTATGCTGTAGACCTGCTTTGTGCCAACACTGGAACACAAATTTAGACTGGTTTTTGCTTCACGTTTGGTCTTGCTCTTCTAATCAGCCGCACTGTGGGAGGGGCTTGTGTTCGCTGTACGCAGGAAGGAGCGAGAGCGTGAAAAGGCGAGGGGCGGCGTGCTGACGTGAGGCAGATGGACAGGTAGGATGTTTAGGAAGTTGAACCTGCCCTGTGATGCACGCTGGTACACGAGGGCACACGCTGTCGCAGACGAGCCGTGCATAGGGAGCGTGTGTGTTTGTGATGCGCCGTAGAGTCTCCGCGGGTTTCAAATGAGCGCACAGGCTGCACTGAGACGCCCCACACGCTCCTGCACCCGCTACAAGTTTATTACCAACAGCAGCGGCCGTAATGAAATATGATCACACTTGTTGAGTGTCAGACCTCGAGTGAGAGACAAGACCGAGTCCAAACACGATCGAGTCCGAGACGAGACACGGCGATCTACCCACACGACCTTGGTGATCGACGTATTGCGCACCCCTGCTGTAGATTATTCACTTCGTAATATTTAAGCTCTTTAGAATCCATATCAGTAGCAAGTACAAACATTTTCCAGTTCTTTACAAAGTTTATTATTGTCGGAATGAATTTTAAGAATGAGCGTAGTGCACAAATTGCTATTAGTGAGTTCCTTCATATCAAAATTCAATGGCAAACTAAGCAATAAGTGCAATACATTATAAATAAAACGGGCGAGACTCACTGGGCTGGTGTGGACTGTCGACAGAAGCTCGAAGCGGACTGTGGCAGAGGTCATGACCCTGATGATATCATCCCAACTTTGACCTGAAAAAACCCCCCCAAAAAAACGCAATCTCTGTTTAGTCCAAAGCCAAGAGCGGTGTCTGCTGTGTGGATTTTAAAAGTGTAGTGATGTTACAGTCTCACTGACCTTCTACTTGGTCTCCATACTTCATCTCTGACGCCTCCTTCATCTGGTCTCTTCTTAATCTGATGCAACAAGAACAATAAAAAATGTTGCCAATATGTAAAAAAGAAGCCACATTTGTTGTAAAATATTCCCCACTATGATTCAAAGAGAAACTCAGTGATTCGTATTGCTTGTATTGGCAAAGAACAGAGATGAAATAGCAACCACAAAGTCAAGTTCTTGCACAAAACTTGGTGAAACTCAAACTTGCCAGAGTAACTTTTGCTTGAAGATGGTGGGGGGATATGCAAGATGTTTATAGGGCTCCAAGATTAATCACAATTGAAACTAAATTGTAATTTAATGGGGAAAAAAATCGCACAGGCTGCAAGTTTTAAGTACCATAATCTCCTCCACAAACAACAAAATATCCTGTTTCATGTTTGTTTTAATGCTGCAGTTCAGGTCTGTTCAAACATGTTCTGAAATGTGATTCTTGCGAGAGTTTTCAGTTCACATTTCTTTTTGTCAGTTCACACGTATTTAAAATGTGAACTTTGAACAGCTCAGCCCTGAATGTTTATTCACCCAATATGACCGTTATACATGTAGAGTTCACTGCTCACTATTGTATAATGCAGCTATCAACAGGTGAGACTCAATATTGTTTTTTAAAATGAACAAAATGTCTAAATAATAATGTCTGTGGGTCATTGTAACTATATACAGTATGAAAAAAGCATAGTATGTCTTCTTTAATAATTGCTCACATAAAGTAGTGTATTTCTTACTGTAAATATTGAGCGGCTGTGAGCTGAGATCCTGGAGTCTTCACTGGGCCACACACCAGGAATCTCTGCAAAGACCAGATAACACATTTACACTACATTAGCAATACATTTATTAGTACTTTTATTAATTGTTTTTTTATTATTTGACATTTATCAAGCCAAGATGTCCATTTCTCATTTATAATCGTTCCACATTGTCAAAGTGAGCGAGTGCTGGACTTGCAGAGACCTGCGTGTGTGCTGCTCCGCTCGCCCTCCACAACATAGCGACCTGCTGCTGCCTGAACTCGTCCTGACAGGAAGTGACGTGGATCACCGTCGTCGGGGAAACCTGAAGATGGGACGAGAGGGAAAAGTGAGCAGCGGTTTGTCTGGGCTTTAGTATCGCAGAGAGGAGGATCTGTATAAATGTATAGAGGAAGAATGTAAATGTAAAATTGTTGTTGTTTTTGTGTCCATAAGGTTTTAAGAAGACATATTGTGCTTTTGCCTGCTGTAGAGTTATAATCTGTGACACAAGTAGATCATTATGTCAATAAAAAAAAAAAAAAAAAAGTCTACTGGCTTCCGAGTTAGAAAACTGCGGTGACCAATGGGAGCTGAAATTGCCGTAAACGTCATCACAACAAAGAGCCGTGCAGATGTTGGCCCCTCCGATGGATAGCTGCACATGAGGCTAGTGAACTGTGATTTTTTTTTTCATTCGTACTGAAATGACTACACAATGCTGCTGAATTCTACGTGTATCATTGATTTTAAAAATAAAATTGGAAAAGGAAGTAAGCACAGAGCAGCGGGCGTGTGCCGGTGGTGGTAAAAACAGTCATTGTTCTGCAAAATGGTGTCTTGAAAATAAACAATTAAAGATTGCTCAAACATGCTCAAATCATTCCAGATACAACTTTGGATGCATTTGCAGAACAGGTTTGCTTTGAAGTAAGTTGTTTACAGTCACCAACGGACCATGAGAGCTATAATTTCAACTTTCAGTTCAAGTATATAGTCACTGACATAGAAGATATTCAACTCTGTGGCAGATTTTGTTCAATGTACCGTATTTTCCAGGCTATTAGTCGCGCTCTTAAGCCTCTAACCCTATCAAAAAATGACCGCACGCCCCACAATCCAGAGCGCCCCATACACGAATCCACTCGGGTGTCCCAGCACGACTTCAGTAAACTACAAAGCCGCACCACATGCAGCGCACGCAAACACACACGGAGCAGACAGCGACCGCACGGCGAAACACACCCACAGATGCACTCATCACTCCACGCCGACGAGGAACGGAACAGAGGAATGAACCGAAAAAGCGAGTGCAATGTGTCACTTCTAGACACAACTGAACAACTGAGTCACTGCGAACACGCCGACAATCCGTTGGTCCCAGACAGCACCCTCCCTACACGCCACAACTGAACAAAGCCCAGAGTCACCGTGAACACCACAAACAAAGTCCAACTGACCCATTCAAATGTTGTGTTTCATTTAAAGTCCGGTGAGGTTTATTTGTAAGAAAAGTTCGAACACAGACCATTCTATGCGCCTTATAATCCAGAGCGACTAATAGCCCGGAAAATACGGTAGATAAGTCTAATGCAAAATGCCAAAGATTCCACCATGGAGTCAAGCCTTTTCCTCCATCTTAGCACCTTAGAATGTGTCTGAACCCAGCCCTTTGTGAGGCGCTAATGGAAACACTGAGTGAGTGCTTACAGTGCAGTCAGATGCAGCCAGTTCCAGCTGAGTCAGATGGGCAACATTCTCCTGTTGAACTGAAAAACAAAAACAAATATCAGCTTTTTTTTTTTATTAATAGGTCGTGTTGGCAAGATTTTGATTTTAAAAGTCATTAACAAGGTTCGTCTGCGTTCCCAGATACAGTTCGACACATATTCAATTCAAATACAGCTTGGACTGATAACAAGAGTAATGTTGATTTATTCTTAACTACAAAATCAGTGAGGATAAAGGCAAAATGTTTCTCTCTGATCTGAATGGTCATTACCTAAACCCCAGCACCTGCAGCCAATCATGAACCAGTGCTAGTGCAGCCTCTGCAGCTCAGTGAGTGATTTCTGGAGGTTCTGAGTTTTCACAAGAGGCCTGTCCATACACACTGAGAATGAAAAAAACCTGTATGTGTCAGTACTAGTTGTAAAATTGTGGGGAAGCTGGCCAAAGTGGTCAAAGTAGGAGGAAGATGCAACCAAAAAAAAAGTGTCCTTAACTCAGACAAGATTTATTTTGAAACACACTTCTGGAGTTACACCAACAAAAGTGCAAATAAACAGAAAATAAGTAACCAAACAACCTGCACAGAAGTCTCTCCCCTTGGGTTAGCACCAACTCGGGATGGGCATTCGATGAAATTTTCTTAATCGATCGTCGGAAGAATTAACGATCGATTACTGATTAATCATTAACGTTTTTATATTAAAATAATCACCATTATTATTACTATCTGCACTACTAATCTGCATAAATAAATTCAACTTTACGACATATAAACCGTAACGACTCTAGAGCCACATCAGCCCGTTTGACATTATAATGTGTTTAATTCAGTTTTGCGCAACTCTCACAGAAACTGAAAACTTAAAACCGCATCGATTAATTTGCATAAACTAAGCGAAGATAAAACTACAGCTCTTGTGTCGCTGATGTGGTTCAATTTCTGTCAGGATTAAAAGACACGACTCAGTGGAATACAGGTTAGTGTGACCAGATTTGTGTTTGTCAAAACCAGGACACCGTACGGGGGGAGGGAGGTGGGGACTCGTCATCCACATTGAGCGACTCTCACCTGGTAAAACTTTTTCCCACTGGACACGGAAACATATGTGCTGCTTTGTACACTGTGCACATGGACTCACACTTGTCCCGAACGCAACGGAAAGCGTGGAATTTCTTGTACAAATCATCGTTAAATACACATTTGTGCTTCGGTTCGTTACAGACTGACCCACTGTTTGTGTCTCGCTCCTTCTGATGCAGAGAGACACATGTACAGACTGTTTGGTCACGCTACGCACAGCAACCTACATTCGGTTTGTCGATTAAAATCAACGTAATCGATGAAATTCTTAATGATCAATTATCGATTAATCGACTAATCATGCCCATCCCTAGCACCAACACACACAGGTTAGTTTGTCCATCAACTTTCCCTGTTTCTAGGTGTGCAATATATTCTCTTATGAGGGCCTAAATCCCCCAGACCATGTGGAGTAACAGGTAAGGTGGTAAGTTGTCTGTATAACTAAATAAATAGATATAACCAAATAAAATGCATTTAAAGTAATTGGTGTGAACTGATTAACTTAACTAAACAAAGACTAAATAAAACAAACCCGGGATAGTGATATTTAGCTGTTTAGTTGAATTACTGATATAGATGTAAAATTAAATGAACTGTGAGTAACAAGGGACAAAGGCCATCTTAATCTCTGGTGTAATAAAGAATAACGAAGAGATAGAATCCATCTTTACCTGTACACGTGCCTATGCTGGGGTCGTATCCCATCAGGCCTTGCTCCTGGACCACCCTGGTGAGGTTTACCCTGATTGCCCCATCGCCCTCGTCACTCGCTCTCCTCCCCCCGCTCGCTCTTCTGCCTTTCTCGGATTCGTCTTCTCGATACGGACACTTCTCCAGCTCCTCTCTCATTCTCTGCTCTCCGTTTTCATTAGTCCAGCTCGCAGGGACCGTCGGCCAGTCGACTCCCAGCGTTTCCAGGAAGCAGATGAAGTCACTGTCTTTGGCAAGTTTGGGGCAAAACGAAACTGAAAAACTGAAAAACAACAAACCGGATCGTAAGTTAGGACTTAATTAGTACATCGAACTACCAATAGTTTATGTTCCCGTTTTAGAATTTGCTGATGACGTAGTTTTAGACGGAGGACAGGGGTTTTTTGCTACTTTGCAGTGATATCAAGCTGGGGGTGTTCTTCTGGTTTGTTTATGGCAGAATGTTCAGCAGTTTCCATGATGACACAATTAAAGTTTTCAGACTCAAAATGGATTTTAACTAAGGCTGCGCAATTAATTGAATTTTGATCGCGATTCCGATTTGTGTGTCAAACGATCTCCAAACTCACATAATCGAGTTGAAACTATTTAAAGCTTAACAAAGTTTATTTTGGGATATTTTTTAGATAAATATGTATATTTATTTTAGTTTTTACATATAGAGATTGTAAAACAGCTGGATATATGGTTTATTTTGGACACATTTATGTTTTTCTACGCGTTATTTCATGTTCAAAGTATATTTTATTCATTTTATGTTTTATACATCGCAAAACTGCTCTAAGGTTCATATTTGTAGCCTATATTTATTTTCATTTTGAAAGTTTTGCCTAAATTATCAATAACAAAGTTTTTTTTTTGAGAGAGAGAAACGCTGCATCGTGTAACTAAAAAATAATTGTTTGAATAATCGTGATTTCAATATTGACCAAAATAATCGTGATAATGATTTTTTCCATAATCGAGCAGCCCTAATTTTAACAACAATCTTTTTTTTTATGTGTGTCCATGGTTCTGTTTAGATGTTTGATTTTCAACAAAAAGGTGAAAAGTGACAAAAACTGTTGGCTAAGAATAGCTGTGTAATGTAATGTGAGTGGGACTTGTTTAACACCACAAATCATCATCTTGTATTTCCATCTAAATCAGCTCTTAATGGTCAGATTGTGTTCAAATAAAAGATCAGATTAAAGTCTAATTGGAGTACCGTATTTTTCGGGCTATTAGGCGCTCTGGATTATAAAACACACTGTCATTAAATGGTCTATTTTCGACCTTTTTTCACAAATAAACCGCACTGGACTTTAAACGAAACACAACAGTGTGATGGGTGAGTGGTTTTGTTTGTTTGTGGCGTTCACGAGTGACTCTGGGCTTTGTTCAGTTGTGGCGTGTAGGGAGGTGCTGTCTGGGACCAACGGATTGTCGGCGTGTTCGCAGTGACTCAGTTGTTCAGTTGTGTCTAGAAGTGGCACATCGCGCTCGCTTTTTTCGGTTTCGTTTCCGTTCCTCGTCGGCGTGGAGTGATGAGTGTGTCTGCGGGTGTGTTTCGCTGTGCGGTCGCTGTCTGCTCCGTGTGTGTTTGCGTGCGCTGCGAGTGGTGCGGGTTTGTAGTTTACTAAAGTCGTGCTGGGACACCCGAGTGGATTCGTGTATGGGGCGCTCTGGATTGTGGCGCGCAGTCGTTTTTTGATGTGGTTAGAGGCTTAAGAGCGCGTCTAATAACCCGGAAAATACGGTAACTGAGTTTCAGACAGAGCAGTGCCTACAGTTAACATCACACCCCACATATCCAAATTTATGATCCACAAATGCAGAGCCTCATCATTATTTGTGAGGGACTGACTCCACACACAAAAACACAAACTCACCCTTGTCTTCTGAGCAGCGCCCCCATGTGGTCGGCGAGCAGGACGGTGCGCAGCTGTCCCAGAGTGAGCGACTGGGCGGTGGGCGCGTTTGTTTTGGTGTGCAGGGCGGGGCAGTTGATCACCACGCTGGCTTCTCTTTGGGTGGACGCTTTGAGATACCCCTCCAGGCCCCCGTGTTGCCCCAGAACGGACCTGAACGCAGCCGGCCGGTCCACCCTGACCCTCAGCCCCTCCCCCACCACGCCCCCCCTCAGAGACCGGGAGCACCCCCGAGCCGTGGAGGGACAGCACACGAGACAGGACGCTCTGTGGGACCTACAGGAGAGGAAAGAGATCAAAATAATAGTGTCTTAAAGTAAACATAGATGGTTGATTTTGATGTTTACAGAATTATTTCATTTTAAATACTGTATTTTTCAGACTGTACAGTAAATTGCAAATTTTTTTTCATAGATTGGGTGGTCCTACAACTTAAATATAAAAATTTTCACACTGACAGTCGCGAGAGGCTCTAGTCTTGTGTGTGAGTATCTGCTGCTCCTATTACTCCTGTACCACTGTCACTTCACTCTGCTGCGCATGTCTCCTGCAGAAAGAGCCTCTGTCCTGTCTGTATCATGTCAGTCGATCGCACCATCACTTCTGCACCACTGAAAAATTCAAATTTAAACAACTTTATAAAGATGACTGAGAAGACTGAACACAAAGGCTCCAAAAAGAAAAACATATTTGCAGGTTACAAGATGCAAGCAGAAAAATCTGCAGCCGAAAACTGTAATCGAGCAGCAGAAAGAAAGTTTGGAGTGAGCGAGAAACTTGAGATACCGGAAAGGTGCGCCATGCGACTTTCCTGAAAGTCACTGGATGGATCGACAAAGCCTAGACTTCAGTGACACTGAAACCATTCTGCCGAGCTTCAGAAAGGTCGGAATAATTCTAACTGGAACTGATGCTGAGTCTGACGACAACTACACAGAAGAGGAAGCGGCGCTCTGTTTACCGTTTACTGTTTACGGAGTTGCTGAGAAGTGACACAGAGGATGAAGAATTGAATGGATTTAGTGATTTGGAGTGAGATGGAGAGTTTGTTAAACATGGTCTGTTCTGTTGTTTATACTATAGTTTATCTGAAGAACTGTTCATATGTGACGTTAACAGTCTGTTGTTTTCTGTTCTGTTGTTGTTACTATAACTTGCCTTTCAAGATGAAATGTCGGTTCCTGGTCTCTGATTTTGTAAAAAAAAATAAGTTTCCCCCAAAAAGTGCGACTTATATATGTTTTTTCTTCTTCATTATGCATTTTTTGGCTGGTGCGATTTATACTCCGTAGCGCCTTACAGTCCAAAAAATACGGTAGTCAAAATTTTTTCCCCACTGTCCTAACACTTTTCCAGCATCCTAATTATTCACAGTGATGAGTTCATGAGCACTTTTCACAAATTTCAGAGGTCAGAGCCTGCTAACAAACAACTATCATGCTAATGGTGCAGCAGTGTTACTTCCTGGTTCGCTGACAATATCTGATCAATCTGTCCCTTAGAGCTGCAACTTTTACTCTATTACATGAGGAAAACAAACTGGCAAAACCCCTTTAATATGTTAGAAAACAGTGACATGTTTGAATATTTCATAAACTATGTAAAACCAGTCTCTAATGTCTTTGAACAAGTTACATAATGTTAGAAATTTTAATTAAATAATACAGATAAACAAGTCAAAACAACCTGAACCTGATACATCTGATCCAGTCTTCAGTGTCATTTGACGTTTAGATGATATTAAACTGTGGCTGTCCCAGAATTTTCTCTGTTTGAATGAGGACAAAACAGAATGCATTATGTTTGGAACATCCAACCTGCCCAGTATCTCAACTCCTGGTCTTGTTGCTTTGGGCCCCCCACTTTAACCACATTGTCAACAATTTGGGGGTGAAATTGGATAGCAATCTAAAAGTTGATAAACACAGATAAATAGATTCTGTGGTCAGAGCAAGCTTCTTTCAGCTCCGCCTCCTGCCAAAAGTTAAACCCTTCTTGAGCCATGGTGACCTGGAGAAAGCTGTCTATGCCTTTGTTAGTTTGTTAGTGCAAAATGCTGCAGCTCGCCTCCTTACTAACAGTCAGAAACATGACCACATCACCCCTGTCCTGTACTCCTTGCACTGGCTCCGTCCAGTTCAGAACTCATTTTAAAATTTTGATGTTTGTTTTTAATGCAGTCTTGCACCTTCCTATTTGTGTGAGAGTTTGACCCCTCACCGACCCAGCAGAGCTCTACGATCTGCTGGGCCACATCTGCTGGAGGTTCCCCCGGTCCCGGTGCAAACAGTGGGCTGATCGTTCTTTTGCAGTGGCCGGTCCAAAACTCTGGAACTCTTTGCCCATTGAGTTAAGGTCCATCCCTGACCTGCCTTTGTTCAAAGCCAAACTTAAAACCTACTTATTTAGAATGGCTTTTAACACTTAGTGGCCCTGTGACACTTTATTTGTATGATGTTTATTGTTTTTATTTAGTTTTAATGTTGTACAGCACTTTGGTCGGCTTTGGCTGTTGGAAAGTGCTATAGAAATAAAGTTTGACTGATTGATTGATTTGGAAAAACTTGTCATGAGGGACGGTGACTGCACTACCGCACCCAGACCTCAAAGGTGCACTTTGTAACATTTCTGGGGAAGGGTCTGCCACCTGCTTGTCTCCATGGAGATGTGGGTCAGATCTGTCAAGAGGCGACCCCAGCTGCTCACAAGAATGTATGTTTTACATGGTCTTGGCAACAAAAAGAAAGACACGTTAAATGCCACACTGAGGAACATTCATGGAGACAAGGTGGTGAACGCTGAACCAGAAAAGTTGCAAAATGAGTCAGGAGTACGTATCTATATTAATTAACCGCTTAAATAATTGATGTAACTCCATTGTGTTATTGCTGTAGTGGAGGCAGACACACGTTTAAGCCTGACCCACATAAAGCTTCACTCATGGGGTAATAATTGGACCTTCAGGGGGAAACGTTTGTCGATTCATGGACCTAAACCACCACAGATCAGAACTGGAAATAACAGACTTATATGTACAATTGTGATCAAGGCTTATAAAATAGTGTTTACACAGCACGATGTTGAGACTTAAAGGTTTTTACCAATAAGATAAGCACAATTCTTTGGCAAACTGAGAAGATAATTACTTTATTGGACATAAAATAAAGGTTGCTTGTTTCCATAGAGACATTTAAAGCTTTCCCTGTGATGTTTTACAGTTTTGCATTAAACTTATATGCAGCGTTTATTCAGTAACAAGTGTTTTAACCCGTAAATGCTCGCTGTGTAATGCTGTGTAATGTCATACAGTGGAACCTTCAATGCAATCCCCATGGAGACAAGGAGTGGGTGCGCCATCCAGCAGAAATGTTACATAGTGCATCTTTAACTTGTTGTTGGCATCCTCAAACCAAAATATAATCTTGGAAAAATAAAAAACTGAACCTTAACCATACAGAAAAAGTAAAATAATAATAATAATAATAATAATAACAAGAAGAAGAAAAATAAGAAAAATAGACATGTTTTGATAAGCTCCTATACAATAAAAATATAATAAATAAAAAAAATTAATAAACCTGACCTGTCCTTCCACGAACAGCGTGTTGAGCATGGTGCTGGGTGACAGAAAGTCCCGGTTGCGGAGGTTTTTCGCGCTGCTCTCCTTGAACCACAGCTTCTCCGGGTCGGGAAACAGCCTCTCCCCGTCGTTCGCTCGGCCCTTGCCCGGTCCATGCTCCTGATTTCCCCGCAATGCAGCGCCCAAAGCCCGGACAGTGGCGGAGATCCGCAGCGGGCACGAAGCAGCCTCCACCTCCATCACCACCACCACCACAACAACACGAGTGAGCTGTCAAACGCTAAAAAGCAAAATACACGCACTTCTCATCACGCTGTGTACGGCTTTTTGGGTTGAAGTGCGGTAATTAGGTCCCGGGTCTCGCTAGTGACCCGCAGATCCGTGTCCAGACCGCGGTCAATCACAAATCGATGGCCGATATTGGGAGCTTCACTCTGCAGCGTTTCAGCGAGACACCCACCCGGAACCATCGGACAGAGGGGAGCGTTTCCGCGGAGTTGAAACCGCGCTGCACCGTTTATTTACTTCTGACGGCGCCATCTTGTGTAGGATTTAAGGAACTACAACACTACTCTGAATAGAAAAAAAAGTCTTAAAGATTACTACGGTTGTAACAATAACCGAATTATCGTGATATCGTATCGTCAAAAGTCTCACAATAATATCGTGGGCTGACAAAATACTGACTTCCAAGTTTCTTTCCTTAAATGCATGGTTTTATAGTAGCAACGGCTAATAAACACAGGGAACTACATATCCCATGATTCATTTCAGTAAAGACAACGTGAAGAAATATGTTGGTTTTTTTGTTGTTGTTGTTGTGTTTGTTTGTTTGTTTGTTTGTTTTATTTAAATTCTTGGGATTATGACTAACAATTAAAAAAAAAATATAAAAATAATAATAATAATAATAATTCGCACCAAAATCTCGTCAAGGTATTTCAAAAAATAAAAAAAAGTATCCTATCTACAATTATATTAGCCTCTCCAAAATATTGCAATAAATATAGTAATGTGAGATGCATATCGTGATAATATCGTACAGAGACATTTGGATATTGTTACATCCCTACAGATTACCAGTACAAATTAGGAGTGAGGACTTTTCATTTGTGTATGATGACGTTAAATGAGCGTTACACAACTCCGAGATGTGCTTGCGTGAATGTTCCACAGTATGGCATTAAACTAGGGAGAACAGACGTCCCTATTTACCTGGGACAGTCCCAGTTTTGAGTCCGGTGTCCCCTGTCCCAGCAGATTTATCCAGAACCAGTGATTTATCCCAGTTTTATACAAGAAATGTCCCAGGTGTCCCTATTTTTGACCAATTTGATAACTGCCGACAGTAAGAGAGGCATAAATTGTCATTTGTTTAGGTAAAATACAGAAAAGCTGCTTAAAAATCACCAAAACACAAAGCCATGTTATTTTGTAATATAATTTATTTAATTTAAATAAAAATACAGGTAATTGAACAAATGCATGAGTCATAATTTTATGGATATACAGTGGAACATCCCATGTTGAACCAGAACTAAACCAGGACTAAAAGAGAATTTAAGTAATTTATCTTCCAAGTACATCTCGGTTTAACACTGACTCACAAAAGCTATTTTTACACCATGATCTTCCCTTGGCATACCATTGGCATACCATTTGGCACACCAAATTGTGGCATATTGCTGTCTAACTGGTGTCTACTGGCCTTCGTAGTCTCACCCCTTGCTTTATCATAGTATGTTCTCTTTTGAAATATTACTATGTTGACTTTTCAAGTCCCCCTGAGCCCGTATTACTGATGGTAAATAAACTTCTCCTGCGTAAGACGTCTGGTTGGTCTCCAGCCTTTTACTTCCACCCTTTCTTGGACAAGCTGAAAACTTCTACAACACATGTAAACAATAACAAATCTAAAGAGAAAAGCAAATGGCCAACCCCCCCACCAGGAAAGTTACACAGAAGTTACTTTAAATGAAAAATTTACTTTTAACTGAAAGGTTCACTGTGTAACCTTTCTGTTTATTGTCTTGTTACCATGGAGACGCTATGGCTTTAAATGTTCTACATAACTGTATTAAACATATCTCTTCTCCATATTCAATTCAGTCACTTTTACTAAAATTGTAAAACATAAAATAAACAACCTATTAAAACTCAAATTATTTAAAACAAAAAACAACCAAATTATATATTTTTTTAAAATTTGTTGCACCCTTTAGTTTGTGGTGTTGTTTCAACATTTATTACGCCTCTAAATTTGCATTAGCATTAGCACTGAGACACAACCATCTCTCTTTCTACAGAAGTGTCCTCCACTGAAGCTTTCATTTTATTTGCATACTTTTTAACATGTTATCAGAGACTTCCACCCACAGATCTTGTTCACTACATTATCTTCAAACGTTTTACTTTTTTAACACGACCCAGCAAAAACCACATGGAGATAAAATTGCACAGGAAGTAGTGATGCTAACAGTGAGACTGGTGGGTGTTATTGTGCACAGAGCCCATTTGAGGTGTTTTATGGTTAAAGATACCGTAAAAAAAAAAAAAAAAATTGCATTCTTACAGTGAGCAGGGTCGCCTCTCAGCAGATTTGACCTGTAATGTCTGTGGAATAATGTCACTTTAATAGGGTGACTAGATTTTCAAAACTTGGACACGCCCGGTTTGGGGTATTTGGTGTAAATAAAACTGTGAAAAGAGCCATAATCAGTCATAATCTGATGGACTTCTGTCGCTGGTTGTTGTTGTTGTTGTTGTTGTCGCTGGTTGTTGTTGTTGTCACTGGTTGTTGTTGTCGCTGTTGTTGTTGTTGTTGTCGCTGGTTGTTGTTGTTGTTGTTGCTGGTTGTTGTTGTCACTTGTTGTTGTCGCTTGTTGTTGTCGCTTGTTGTTGTTGCTGGTTGTTGTTGTCGCTGGTTGTTGTTGTCGCTGGTTGTTGTTGTTTTCGCTGGTTGTTGTTGTTGTCGCTGGTTGTTGTTGTTGTCGCTGGTTGTTGTTGTTGTTTTCGCTGGTTGTTGTTGTTTTCGCTGGTTGTTGTTGTTGTTCGCTGGTTGTTGTTGTCGCTGGTTGTTGTTGTCGCTGGTTGTTGTTGTTGTTGTCGCTGGTTGTTGTTGTTGCTGGTTGTTGTTGTTGTTGTTGTTGTTGTTGTTGTCGCTGTGTTGTTGTTGTTTCGCTTGTTTTTGTTGTCGCTGTTGTTGTTGTTGTCGCTGGTTGTTGTTGTTGTCGCTGGTTGTTGTTGTTGTGGTTGTTGTTGTCGCTGGTTGTTGTTGTTGTTGTGTTGCTGGTTGTTGTTGTTGTTGTCGCTGGTTGTTGTTGTGTCTGGTTGTTGTTGTGTCGCTGGTTGTTGTTGTGTTGTCGCTGGTTGTTGTTGTTGTTGTTGTTGTTGTTGTTGTTGTTGTTGTTGTCGCTGTTGTTGTTGTTGTTGTTGGTTGTTGTTGTTGTTGTCGCTGGTTGTTGTTGTTGTTGCTTGTTGTTGTTGTTGTCGCTGGTTGTTGTTGTTGTCGCTGGTTGTTGTTGTTGTTGTTGTTGTGTTGTTGTTGTTGTGTTGTTGTTGTTGTCGCTGGTTGTTGTTGTTGCTGGTTGTTGTTTTGTTGTTGTTGTTGTTGTTGTTGTTGTCTGGTTGTTGTTGTTGTTGTTGTTGTTGTGCTGGTTGTTGTTGTGTGTTGTTGTTGTTGTTGTCGCTGGTTGTTGTTGTTGTCGCTGGTTGTTGTTGTTGTTGTTGGTTGTTGTTGTTGTTGTTGGTGGTTGTTGTTGTTGTCGCTGGTTGTTGTTGTTGTCGCTGGTTGTTGTTGTTGTTGTTGTTGTCGCTGGTTGTTGTTGTTGTTGTCGCTGGTTGTTGTTGTTGTTGTCGCTGGTTGTTGTTGTTGTGTCTGGTTGTTGTTGTTTGTTGTTTGTCGCTGGTTGTTGTTGTTGTTGTGTTGTTGTGTTGTTGTTGTTGTTGTTGTCGCTGGTTGTTGTTGTTGTTGCTTGTTGTTGTTGTTGTTGTCGCTGGTTGTTGTTGTTGTTGTTGTTGTTGTCTGGTGTTGTTGTTGTTGTTGTTGTTGTCTTGCTTGTTGTCGCTGGTTGTTGTTGTCGCTGGTTGTTGTTGTTGTTGTTGTTGTTGTCGCTGGTTGTTTGTTGTTGTTGTCGGTTGTTGTTGTTGTTGTCGCGGTTGTTGTGTTGTTGTCGCTGGTTGTTGTTTTCGGTGGTTGTTGTTGTCGCTGGTTGTTGTTGTTGTCGCTGGTTGTTGTTGTTGTTGTTGTCGCTGGTTGTTGTTGTTGTCGCTGGTTGTTGTTGTTGTCGCTTGTCGTTGTCGCTTGTCGTTGTCGGTTGCCGTTGTCGTTGTTGTTGTGCAAAACAAATTACAATTTTATGCTCCTCTTTACTGCTGGGAGGGATAAGATTAGTCAAAAATTGTGATAGTCCTGTTTTAGTCCTGATTTAGTCTGGGTTGGTCTTAGTTTAGTCCTGGTTTAGTCCTGATGTAGTCTGGGTTAATCTTAGTTTAGTCCTGGTTTAGACCTGATGTAGTCTGGGTTAGTTTTAGTTTAGACCTGGTTTAGATCAAATTGGTCAAAAATAGGGACACCTGGAACATTTCTCGATAAAACTGCGGCAAATCACTGATTTTGTATAAATCTGCTGGGACAGGGGACACAGGGCTCAAAACTGGGACTGTCCCAGGTAAATAGGAACGTCTGGTCACTCTACACTTTAAAGGTCTTCATGGGACATTTCAGGCAAAGCAATAAAATCCCCATGAAGACAAGGAGGTGACAGACCCTCCACCAAAAAATCACACAAACTACAAGCTACAAACTGTAAGAAAACAAGGAGTAAATGAACTGTGAAATCTCTCACTGGCTGATAATGGACTTTTGTGTCTGTGTCAACAAAGATTTGACTTGTTTTGAATTCTTAACTACAAACAAAGCTACACAAAGGGCTCAGTGTCTCAGGTGACCCGAGAGGACATTTAAATTATGGAAAGGACATGGGACATAAAGTGAGTTTAGCCCTGTCTTATGTCTTACTCTAAGTGACAAGTTATAAGGAAGAACGTTTAAAGTCTTAGGTGACCATAGTGTTTGGTCTGAAATTAGTATTTTCAAAAACAGTTCAAAGTCCAGTTTTGCACAATCAATGAAACTTAGTCTAGTGAATTACTTTTACTACTTTTTGCAAATTAATTATTTTTGAGAAGTTGACACTTAATTTCTTTACAATATTTGGTACAACATTATAATAACTACACCTTAATGAAGCAAGAAGAAAGACTTATAGGGCCCATGTTATACAAATCTCTGATCTATGTTTTAAAGTGTCCTCATCAAAAACATGTTTCATTCACACATGTTTAACACACAAACTCTGCATATTTAGGAGAGTTTTTCACTCTGTTCCACTCTGTTTACGTGATCACTCTGTTTTTAAACTCTATATACACATCTTTACTAGAATCATTGGGAT